AGTCTAATGGAACTAGAGGGGAAAATGAGGAAGAGAGTCACTGATTGCCAGAACGCTGAAGGAAACGAAGGAGGGCATTTAGCAAGGGCATTCTTACTGCTGAACCTACGCGAACTGGGGGAATTTATTGACAAGAGCATCCAGTCTGGAGAAGGTCCTTCTGGGACCAAATAGATTAGGTTGATTTGCTTTCTAAATGTAATAAGGCCAAGTGCCATTAGTGACATTATTTTTAGTATCGTTTGGGTCGTCTATTTTCGCGTTAATGAAATGAGGCAATTATTAGCATTGAATTTCTCCAAATTTATTTGTCGCTAGGCCTACCTCGGGCATAGCGGGGCCCCCAAATTAGGACACGAATTTATATTCCCTCAATATGTGTTTAAGTACTGCAAACTTTTCAGAACTATCACTGACTTGGCTACCTTTCGTTTTTCTTTCTTTCTTTTTGATTATTCCCATTCCCCAAAGGTTGGTTCGTGCATACTGGCATCATCAACTTATCACACAAGATCCAGGGGCCCTCCACCTTCTCCTCCTCCTAGTCCACCAAAAGGCAAGGGAAAAGAAAAAATAGAAGATTTGAACGGCGCCAGAAAGGAAAACAACACAGGGGTTGAACATGCAGAATGTTCTGATGGTCGGGGTACTCAGGCCCCAAATGAAGCTGTTTCACGGCTCGGACAGAAAATACTGGAACTCAGGGGGAGATTGAGAATGCCCGGAATGTGGCAAACCTATCCTTCTCACTCAGCGTCCCAGACATCAGTCATCCAAATACTCAGAACCTTGCACCACCTCAAAACATACCCAACAAGCGCCAACAAAATCCACCCGTACCTCACCATTATACAACTCCCCCACAAAATCAAACTATTCCACCACAATACCAGCCAAACACCTACCATACTCCACAAAATACCCCACCAATAATTCCTGAACCCCAGAATTCCACCAATGATCACCACTATACTCAAATTCTACGTCACCAAAACAACCCTATATATGTGGAGACCCTACCTCATTCCACTCAACCCATCTCCTATGCACCAGAATCCGTTGAGAAGGACATGCTCATTAAGAACCTGGCAGAGGAGCTCAAGAAGTTGATCATCCGAGTTCAAGGTGTAGAAGGAGGCAAGGGGATAGAAGGTTTGAACTATGAGGACCTATGCATATAGCCGGATGTAGAACTGCCAGAGGGTTACAAACCTCCTAAGTTCGAGATGTTTGACGCTACAGACGATCCCAGGGTTCATCTAAGGACCTATTGCGACAAGCTTGTCGGGGTCGGAAAAGATGAAAAGATCCGGATGAAGCTTTTTATGAGAAGTCTTACGGGAGATGCCTTGTCTTGGTACATCAGCCAGGATCCTAAGAAATGGGCCAACTGGGTGAGTATGGCATCTTATTTCATGGACCGATTCAGGTTCAACACAGAGAACGCACCAGATGTCTTCTACATTCAGAACCTCAAGAAGAAGCCCACCGAAACTTTCCGCGAGTATGCTACTCGTTGGAGGTCAGAAGCGGCCAAAGTCAGGGCCAGCAATGGACGAGGAACAGGTGAATAAGTTCTTTGTTAGAGCACAGGATCCGCAATACTATGAAAGGTTGATGGTTATTGAAAACCATAAGTTCTCTGATATCATCAAACTTGGTGAAAGGATCGAAGAAGGCATCAAGAGCGGGATGGTAACAAACTTTGAGGCGTTGCAAGCCACTAATAAAGTAATGCAATCAGGGGGTATATCTAAGATGAAAGATGTGGGAGCAGTAATAATCGCCCAAGGACCCAAAACTCCATTCGTATACCGAACCTCCCCACTCGCATATCAAGCACCTCCACCCACATATCAAGCACCGTCACCTCCACCTACATATCAACCCTCATTCCCTAGATATTCCCAACCAACCACTGCCTATCACACCTATAATTCCCAACCATCTCATTTTCAGTCACCTCCAACTCGTCCAAATTACCCAAGACCACGACTCAATTTTGACCGCAGACCACCCAAACAATACACTGCCATCGCTGAACCCATCGACCAGCTATATAAAAGGTTGAAGGCTGCTGGTTATGTCTCTCCCATCCCTCCTGTGGCCACGGAGAACTCATCCCAATGGGTTATCCCGAATAAGACTTGTGCATATCATTCCGGTATGAAAGGGCACACCATTGACGACTGCCGCACATTGAAGGACAAAATCCAGACTTTGATTGACAACAAGATCATCCAGGCAAAGGAGGCTACGCCTAATGTCCGTAATAACCCCCTCCAAGATCACAGGGGTAAAGGTGTCAATGTGATAGAGAAGGATGAAGAATGGGATCCGGAGGGATCAATCGAACTTATCAAAAAGGGTGATGATCCCAAGAAACCCACAGTCACTCTCAACCCTATTATAGTGCAGATACAGCCGCCAATGGAGGTCGAGGTAACAACATCAGTCCCAGTTGAAGTTGAGGTAGCACCCCCTACAGTTGCGCCTATTCTGTTTGAGGTGAAAGTAGCCACACCATTTACAGAGACAGTATCAACCACACCGCCTTCCAGCACCGAGGCTGTACCATGGGATTATGTGGCCGAAGCTAGAAGAAAAGGAAAAACCAAGATAGGGGGATCTGGTGCTGCACAAGGGATGACTAGGAATGGAAGGGTCTATACGCCCAAACATTTAGGAGAGTCTAGTAAATAGGCCTCTAACAGACCTCCCGTTACTGAAACAGGTCCAGAGGAGCTTTGGAGGAAAGCACAAGCAAGAGAGTATTCAGTCATCGACCATCTGAACAAGACTCCTGCTCAAATATCTATCCTGTCGCTGCTACAGAATTTAGAAGCACACATGAATGCTCTGATGAAAGTATTGAACGAACCGTATGTGCCCAATAACATCACAAGCGGAGAGATGGCTAACATGGTGGGACAGGTATTGGAAAGTCATAAAATCACTTTCCACGAGGATGAGTTGCCGCCTGAGGGTCTGAATCACAACAGGGCACTGCACATCACAGTGAAATGTGAAGACTACTTCATTACCAGGGTCCTGATTAATGGAGGATCCAGTCTCAATATTTGCCCATTGACAACACTGAAGAGGTTGGGCAAAGGCCTATACGAGATACGAGAAGGGACCATGAACATAAAGGCATTTTATGGGTCTCAATAGGCAACCATCGGGGAAATTAATCTCTGTCTGCAAATGGGGCCTACGTGGTTTGATGTCGAGTTTCAGGTGCTGGACATATCTGCATCCTACAATCTGCTGTTAGGACGACCATGGATACACGCCGCTGGGGCTGTGGCGTCAACTCTGCATCAGGCAGTAAAGTTTGAGTGGAACCATCCGGAGGTGATTATCCATGGAGACGGGAGCAATCCCATTTACACCCGTCTGACTATCCCGATGGTCGAACTAGGAGAAAGCTAGGCGGAGAAACTTATCATCACATCGAGCGGGTCAATGCAATCGACAAAGATAAGTGGAGGGATGGCAATATAGCAAGAATGATGAATTGGGAAGGGTATGAGCCTGGCAAGGGGCTTGGTAAGAATCTTCAAGGCATCGCCAAGCCAATACAGCCAAAGTACCATGGTACCACTTTTGGGCTGTGATACCAATACACCTGGCAAGAATACAATGACTGATCACCACCATGGCGAGGTCCGTACTATCCATTGGAGCAACCTATACCGTACTTGAGTCATACTTTCCAACAGGCCGACATCATATGGGGATTAGAGGAGGAAGAAGCACTGGCAGCCTTAAGGAACCTGTTCCTGGAAGAGGAGGACATAGACTGTTGTGTAATTGTTGAGGAGGAGGAGGAGGAGGAGGAAGGCCCTACCATCCGAGCTGTGGAGAGAGGATCATTCCTCAAGAATTGGACTGTCACACCATCCAGGGCCCGACGAGTCCCGGGGTAGCGAGGCTAAAAAACATTGTTTTGTTTATTTTCTAAGAAAAATGATTTCCCTTTTGGCATTTTGTTTTAAATAATATTTCCAAATGTTCCAAAGAAGTTGTTTAAATTGTTAAAAATCGCTTTTATGTTTCAATGAATCAATATTTATTATTACCATTTTTTCTCTCATATCTTTATCTATACAGCATTACTATTTCCTGTCTCGATGAACCAACAACTGTGACATGTAATGAGACAACACAACAAAAGGATAGTGATTCGGAAGAAGAAGATGTCATACCCGAGGAAATTGTCAGAGAAGAAGAAGACTTTGAGAACAATCCTAAGTCCAATCTGGACAAAACAAAAATAATCAACACTCTATAATTGTTACAACTATGGATATCAAGTTTGTTCTTATATAATGGAACCAATGTACTCCACCTCCACTCATCCGGCATCCTCTTCGCCTTAAAAATAATATTAAACAACCCAGTCAACCACTCCAAACCTGCTCTCCCCATACACTTCCAAAATTCTACCAGAATCTCGTCTGGCCCAGTTACTCTGCCCCTACTCATCTTACGCATAGCTCCCACGACCTCCTCAGCCTTGATATGCCTGCAGTACCCAAAGTCACGGTGGCTCTTGGACTGCTCCAATTCGCTTAGCACAATATCCCGACCCCCTTCTTCATTTAGAAGTTTAGGAAAGTAAGTCTGCCATCTCCTCTTAGTTTGTGCATCTTCCATCAATACTCTACCATTTTCGTCCTTGATGCATCTCACTTGGTCCAAATCCCGAGCCTTCCCCTCTCTCAACTTGGCCAGCCGGAATAACTTCTTTTTTCCGCCTTTTCCCCCTAGTTCCTCGTACATACAACTATAGGCCATAGTCTTAGCCTCCGTGACCGCCAGCTTAGCTTCCTTCCTAGCTACCTTATACCTCTCCATGCACACTCGCCTCTCCTCCTCACCTATGCTCCCCACTAACTTCAGGTACGCCGCCTTCTTCGCTTTCACTTTACCTTGGACCACTTCATTTCACCACTAGTCTCCTTTGTGCCCACCAGGGACGCCCGTCGAGACCCCTAACACCACTCTCGCAGCCTCCTTATACAGTCTGTTGTCGCTGACCACATAGTCCTCGCATCACCACTGCTCCTCCAAGCTCCCATAGCTGACAACCGCCCTTCTAACTCCTTAGCTTTGTCCTTAGTTAGGGCTCCCCACCTGATTCTTGGTCTTCCTCGAGCGGACCATTTCCTCCTCTTTAACATAATACCAACGTACATCACCAAGAGCCTATGCTGCATCGCGAGTATCTCACCCGGAATCACCTTGCAATCCTCGCACAACCCTCTGTCATACCTCCTGAGGAGGAGATAGTCAATCTGAGTCTTCGCCACCGCATTTTGAAAAATAACCAAATGCTCCTCCCTCTTCGGAAATCTAACGTTCGCAATCACCAACCCGAAAGCCTTAGCAAAGTCCAATAGCGAAGTACCTCCTCCGTTCCTCTCCCCAAAACCGAAGCCTCTATGAACCTCGCCATAACCACCTGCGGTCGACCCAATATGACCATTGAAATCCCCTCCTATGAATAGCTTCTCAGCAGGCGGAACCTGGCGCACAATCTCATCCAACCCCTCCCAGAAGCGGCGTTTAACTTCCTCATCTAGGCCTGCATGCGTCGCATAGGCGCTAACAATGTTTAGGGTGCACTCTCCAACCACCAACTTAATAATCATCAATCTATCATTCACTCGTCTAACCTCAACCACAGACTCTCTAAGATCCCTATCCACCAAGATACCCACTCCATTCTTACCTCTCTGGACTCCGGAGTACCAAAGTTTATACCCGTCTGCGTCCTTAGCCCTCGACCCTACCCACCTTGTTTCCTAGACACACGCTATATTGACCCTCCTCTTCTGGAGGATCTTCGCCAACTCTATTGACTTACCCGTCAATGTACCTACGTTCCATGACCCAATTCTCAACCTATAGATACCCTTGTTCCCTTTACCTCCCTCCCCACCCCCTAAGCCCTACCCTACCTCCCTCCCCACCCCCCGCTCCCCCCGATGATATGACCTCACTCGACCATCCCAGACCACAACCACTATACCTAAGACATACTAATGGGAATCTCTAATATACACAAGGCAACAGACCAAACTAGAAGAAGACAAGTTGCAACTACAGGCACACTAATGCGGTGAATAAACTAATACGAACTAAAATGGCAGCAATTTAACTAACGCAATAAAGGGAAAAAGGAAAACGGGAGGTACCAACTCCCTTGAGTAGAACCTGGGAATTGTCTAGGTATGCACGACGATGTTGGGTCCACCTAGCACGTTCGCGTCCAACTCCTCCCGCCCCTTGCTGACACTTGCGTAGGTTGTTCTTTAATGTTTGCACACTCACGTCCCTTTCTCCGCTAATAGCCACGGGCCCTAACCTGAAATACACACAAAATACCACGAAGCCAAACAAATGAGGGATGGGTTGTCATCGCTACCACTGGTGAGGCCCCACCCGTAGCAATGAAGCGCAAAAAGGATGAAATAAAACCGTAAGTTGATTTTAAAAGGTCAATAATGAATAAAAACCGAAAAAGTATCAGCATATATATATGTAAAATTATATAAGGTAATTGTCATCATATATACGCAACATCCACGAAAAAAGAAGAAAGAAAGAAAAATCCACGAAAAAAGTAAAATCTGTTAAAGTTTGTAGGGATCGAATCAGTACAATAATTACCCACAAAAAAGAATATCTAAAGAACAAATATAGCACCAATCCAAATATGAAGCCTTCAATTTCTATAAACAAGTTGGCTATAAAATAGAGTAAACCCAGATCCAAAAAGCAAATACTAAATTAGGTTAAATTAACACGAAGAGTGTGCAACAATGAATGAAGTAGTAGAGAAACAATGTTGAGACAAATACCAACAAAAATAGAGGAGAGAGAGAGAGAGAGAGAGAGAGAGAGAGAGGAGAATGGGAGGAGAGGGCGATGAGGGAGGAGGGGGGGGGGTAACCTGTTGGAGGAGGTGGTCGCCGGCGTCGCGGAGTCGCCAGCTGGGGTTGGATCTGGGAGTGGTTTTTTGACCATTAGTGTCGAAAGCAAAAGCAAGACACCGTATTATTCTATTTCTAAATTTAAATTATCAACTCATTAAGGAGATAAATTAATTGATACAATTTGAGATCTACCTAGAACGGAAAGGGTATAAAGAAAATACTACTATTACTATTCGTATCACGCTTCTCATAGAACATTAAAAGCGTTCATCAAACCATACCTCAAAATTGCAAAAATTTTCGTTGTTGCCTCCAAACCTGTTCACACACATCCAGTATCTGCGCCCAACTTCACCATCATCCCAACAGTTCGCCAACATGCAACGTTTTCCACATTGGCACATAAATGAGTTCAGACATTTATTAAAATGAAAAAAATCTTGCTTTAAGTTTTGCTATTTGTTATGGTTAAGCGCAGAAAATAACTAGAATGTGCCCGTTATTTATAGGCAAGGCAACACACATAACGTAGTATTTAACCGGGCTATGCTAACATATAATGTAGTATTTAACCGCGCTATGCTTCGCGTGTTAAAGATTCTTTTGGATACAAAACAGCTTTTTTGCAGGCGGGCAGCTTTTCAGATCGACAAGACAACACACATAACGTAGTATATGACCGCTCTATATATGCTCACACATAACATAGTATTTAACAGTGCTATACTTCGCATGTTAAAGATTCTTTCTGACAGTGTAGTTTTCTAATAATTTTAGAGTGAAACTCGAAAGTGAACGTAAAAATTTTCCGTTTTTTAATCCAATACTATTTTTGATTACATGAACAGGAGGGAGAAATTCATTAATTTACTCAACTGAAAAATGTTAAATATCAATAAGATTTAACAACAATGGAAACACAATTTTATTTGATACATCTTGCAGCATAAACAAGTACATACACTTATTACAAAAAACATTACGAAAACAAAACACTACGTGTATCCTTGATAGTTGGGCACATTAGATGAACTTCCACCAGGAGCTGGATTACAACCGCCACCCAAACCAGCTGAAGGACATTTACGACGGTCGTGTCCTGTTTGCGAGCATATGCCACATTTACGCGCATAAACGGTATCACCAACATCCATTTGGTTCCGTATATGCATTTTTTTGCACTTGTAGCTTACACAAATAGTCCTTGTTACACACCATTTTAAATGGTTCCGGTGGCCAATAATGCTCAGCACCCACTGGCTGCAACTTCCCACTATATGTGTTTAAGTATGCAGCAACACTGTATTGCCTATCAACATAGTTGGCTCCTAAACCTGTATGTTGAAAGCACTTCATGGCATGTGAGCACGACATGTGGTAGATGGACCATTTCCCACAAGAACACAACCTGCTGGCTTCATTTATGGTGTGTATATTATTCCCTCGGTGTTGATGGATAGCGGTGCGAACTTCAAAAATATTTCGCTCGTTGCAATACTGTAAAAATGAATGCCAATGTGCTCGCCTCCTGTATTTCTCAAATCTTTTCATTGGTATTGGCATAAATTCAACACCCTTCTCCATCAATTCCGATGCACCTCTATGTCTTTCAACAAACCTCTCCGCAATCTGTTTGAATGACATCCGCACCATGGCTATGACATGCAATCCACGTGCAGACCTCAATAACCCGTTGAAAGACTCCGACACATTTTTAGTCAGGGTTCCCCATCGTCTGCCACCATCTGCATGCAATGTCTACTTGTGAAGCTCATGTCGCATCAACCAATGATAAGCTCTTTCGTCTAACTGCCAGATCGATTCCATGCGCCTCCTGAATTTGCACTCTTGGTGATCAGTTTCAACCATCCACATTAAATCATGCAAGTTCTTGTTAGGATATTTCTTCTGGAAATTGGCCTTCAGGTGCCTCGCACAGTAACAGTGGTATGCATAGGGTTCCTGCCATTTAGGCAAATGCTCTACAGAACTTAATATACCACCATGCCGATCAGATATTAGACAAATACCTGAACGTTATTTGACAACGTGCTGCTTCAAGTGGTTCAACAATAGCGTCCACGTCTCTTGGCTTTCATTGGCACAGATGGCAAAAGCTAGTGGAAATATTTTTTCATTCGTATCTACTGCAACGGCGATCGATAGCTTAATATAATACTTTCCATAGACATGAGTGCCGTCTATGGAAATTACCGGACGACAATGCACAAAATCATCAATTGCTGGTCTAAATGCCCAGAACATGTATCTGAATATATATTCCGGTATTCCTGCACTCCGCTCAAGCTTCCATTCAACAACAGTCCCGGGGTTAAAGTGTTTCAATGCGGCCATGTACCTAGGTAGAGATGCAAATGACTTATCCCAGTCACCATATACAATTTTCACGTTTGCCCCCGATATATGCCTTCCTTTTGGTAATAGTACACCCATATTCTTGGTGGACGGATGTAGTACACTCTTTGATCTTGTACCTTATGGACGCTTCAATGTGTGGAATCAGTTGAAGAGAAATCAAGTCAACATCCAAGTTGAAGTGATTCCCATTGAATGTGTCCATTTCATAATTGTGGGTGCCAATCTATTTACCACTTTCCACAACCCTGTTTCCTTCTTGCTCGCACGCAGCATCCAATGACAATCCGTAAACCATCTACGACAAACAACCTTGTATACATCCGGACTTGACTCCCATACCATCATCTCACGGCACTCTTTTACGCTGTACATTTTTTGCAGCCTTGGTCAGGCGAGCTTTATCAGGAAAAAGCATGCCCTTTGCCAGCACCGTTGGTCTAGACTCATCCGACATTGCTGTCCGAATTTTGTCAAGATCCCTTGTGAGGGCATCCACATCCGGCATACTTGGAAAATGATCAAGGTAGGGAATATGCCTTGAATGAAACGACACGTGAGACTCGTACACTCTTGGTCTAACGGGAGGTGGAACATGCTTCCTCATCAGCTCAGGTTCGGCATTATCTTCCTCCTCATCATCACCCTCGACAAGGAAGGGTGTGTCATCTCCAAACTCATCGGCATTATTGTCATAATCACTATTATCTTCCCAACTCTGCGCATCAGCCAAATCCCGAGTAAATACGTCGTCTACGGGCAACTGAGTGAGGACAGGACCATCAAGTTGCTCATTTTTACTGCACAAATAACAAAATAATAAGCTACTAAAATTGATAAATACTTTACATATAGCTGTATCACTTCACTTACAAGTCGTAATGTATTGACATTCCATGATGGACATTATCCTGTTGGTGATGACTCCCGGATGGACCACCGTGATCCAACACACCAAAACTACGCATATTCCAACTGGGCGTGGGTTCATAACTTGTAAAATTCATATCTGGACGGTACCCCCTGTGGAATATATGAGTGTTAATACAAATTCAATACAATAAAAATAAACATCGTAACACAAAGGAAAATTGAAGTTTACCAGTCGTCTTGTGGATTATGTAAAGTAGGAGAGAAATTATTTCCTGTCCCCGTTCACTCCGTGGAGATAAGTTTAGATCAAGGCCAAACTCTTCAGCGAACCTGTTCGGCTAAAACTGCTCAGAATAACCACCCGATGATTGAGGGTTATCCCGCTTTTGCGCAACCTGATTATTGCGACGTCTTCATTATTCACGTACATTTCAAACATTTTTATCAAAAATAAGTTCCCGGTATTCATCGGAGTCCCAAAAAATCTCTCAGAGTTTCATCATCCTTGATGTTAAACTCAGCGTAACAAGCAACCCCTTGCGGAGTCACAGAATACGGATATCTTCCGATTATTTTAAGATTCACTGAACGTTTCTCAACCTCATTTTTTACATAACAACCATTGTAAGTGGCAACTTAACATGACTCTGTGGAGATAAACTATAGCTCACTGAGTTATTCGCCACACAACCTCACCCCCCCAATATAATGAACCTTACTTTTTCGCTCTTCAGATATTATGAAAAAAAGCTTGAGAATTAACAAAAGAAAAATTTATCAGGGGTTGAGAATATTTCTGAAACGCTTAAGTTGAGAATTTTTGCAAAACCCTTAACGCTTTAAATAAGGCAATGCCCACATCGGGGGGGGGGGGGGATCAAATTTTTGGAAGTAAATCGCTTTTTAAAAGGGCGTTTTACCCATTTGAATTATTGTTATGTCAGTTAAGCAGAAGAGTTATTGGTGGGCCACAAAACAGGTAAACCGTTGTATGGAAATGCGTTTTATGTAAAACGCAGTTTTGCAACGCGCTTTACCTTAACGTCCAAAAGGACGTTTTATATACTTTGGTCACTAAGTTTTTTTCCCACCTATTTATGTATTTTGAGTCCAAAAAAGCAACATTTAGGTTCCGGACTCTCCGAAAATGTGGTACTTTGATTAATATAATAGCTTTCATCGCACAATAACTAAAAGGTGCCCTGAAAGCTTTGATTTAGTGATAAGAATGCCGCATGTGTCAGGCGCATATCAGAGGTTCAAACCTTGTTAGAGGAGAATAGAAGTGCATATCCATACTTCCTGGAGTTTCGAAATTGTGCTTCAACTGAAGTCGGGCCAAAATCCTACCAGGGATTTTTTTCGGTATGAGAAACATTCTGATCGACCCGATTGGCTTTTGTTTTGGTTTGGTGAAAAGCAATAAAGTTGGAGCAAATATTATGAATTGATTTATATTTCACGGAAAATATATGAAGTGCACTAGAATTGTTCGGTATAGTGCTACTTAACATTATCTTTTCAGAAGTTAAAGTTGATTGTTTTCCAGAAACTAGCTGCATCTCTTATTGACTTCAACCTAAAGTAGGCCTAAAGATCCCTATCTTAGCTACATATAAGTTCTTGGTGTTGGGATGCAATTTCACTGAGCCTAGATTACCCAAACTGTGCTTCCAAGTTCCCTAAGATGTACACTCAAGAGGCATATGGTAGTTTTATTTGGTTGGAAATTACAAGTTCGAATTGTATAATGATCACGCCCAACTATGCCTTATAAAAAAGACTAAGCGGTCGTTGCAAATATAATCCGGTTTACAAGTCCGGATTCGAATCCCACAGAAA